TTATAAATACTAGAAAAATTATTTATAATATACATTATCAAAATTTACCGGTTGTTACATTCTTATTTCATTGGAAAGGAGTCCAAGGATTTAGAAGGAGAAGATGGCTGAGGGAGATACATAGCAAGGATTGATGCATTAGAGAAGCAGGATCGAGACGATAGGGTCGACGCTCACAAAACTTGTCGGTCTCATCCAAGGAGGGAACGAAAAGGGGGAATCTTCCTCTGGGTCTACGAAGAAACCTATAGAGTCTGGTGGAGAGAGCGAGCTTTCAGGCTCCGACGAGGAGGACGAGACCGTCAAGGCTGCACCGCATCAAGGGGGTAAGAATTCTTACCAGAATCTGAAGATTGATTTCAGAGTGGAGATTCCTATTTATGATGGGAATGTTGACGTCGAGAGGCTTTATGACTGGATCGAGCGGATGGAGACGTATTTTACTCTTTATGGCTATTCGTCAAAAGAGAAGATTGTGTTCGCGACTTTGAAGCTTTCAGGACACGCGTTGACGTGGAACAAGTTCAAGGAGCTACTTAGGAAACAGTTTCTATCCGGTGGATTCCTTGAAGAACGTTGGTACAAGTGGTACGGCTTGCGCCAAAGGGTCAATCAAACCGTTCAAGAATACACTACGGAGTTCCACCAGCAGGCGATGGTCCTTAACATTGCGACAGAGGAATATTCTGTGTTCATGAAATATATGGCGGGATTGAGCGATTACATCCGAAAGGAGATGAGGTTATTCACGGTCGAGACTATTGCAGATGCGAGCGTGAAGACCATTGCCATTGAGGGCAAGCAAAAGAAGAGCAACGAAGCAAAGGGGGATGCAAAGCAAGTTATAGGCGAGTCTAGTGGTTCTCAGTTTAAGGAGGAGAAGAAGAAAGGTGATCCAGGGAAAACAGGGCTGATTTGTAGTCACTGCGAGAAGACAGGGCACGAAGCTGATCGGTGCTGGGAGAAGTATCCTCATCTCAAGCCAAGAGGGTTGAAGAAGAAGGAGGAGAAAAAGGCATACATGATAGCTCAAGGTCCGAAAGAAGTCCCGGGGATGACAGAGCCTAATAGCAGTCTCAATCTTATGACGGGGAAATAGGCCACGAAAGAGGACGACGACCGGAGAGAGCAGCTCTTTGTTCTTAAGTTGCAAGTGAAGACCAGTTTGGTTGATGTCATAGTCGATCCGGGTAGCGAGAAGAATTTGATATCTGAAGCCTTGGTTCAGAAGCTGGGTCTGAAGACGGTAAAACATCTGAAGCTCTATCCATTGGGATGGATTCAGAAGGAGGAAAAGCTAAGTGTAGTTGATCAATGCACTGTAAGATTTGCACTCCATGAGTCGTATATTAACGAGATCACATGCGACGTTGTTCCATTGGATGTTTGTCAGATTATACTGGACAATCCGTACTTATGGGATAGATATGCGATCTACGAGAGGCGGGCTCAGAAGTATATATTCACCAAAGGTGGTGAAAGGTTCATATTTCGTTCGGCATCTCTTCTGAGGGAGACAAGCTTGGGAACGGTGACGCGAGCAAAGAGGTTAGTGAATGCAAGCAAGAAGTTTGTATTGCTGTGCATTAGACTTCCAGAAAAGCCATCGATTAAGGATTGCAACTTGGAGCGAGAAGTGACTACGACGAGACGCGGGATGAATGAGTTATTTCCGATCGGACGTCGAGATCAGATTCCTAGCAAGGCCAGGTGGTTCAGAAAAGGAGGAGGGGCTCACGAGTTCCCTCAGTTTCAGTTCTAACTTGAACGGGACTTCAAGTTCCTAAAGGGGGGGACCCATGATACGAGTGTATCTTCTCTTGACGAGCTTAGCGATCCCCATGAGAGCTTGAGGATAGGAGATTCTCATATCTTGGGAATATGAGCATGGATGGAGCCAAAGAAGGCGGTGGAAGAAGTCAGCAGAAGCGAAACGTGCAAAAGAACAGGGTAACTGGCAGATCTTTGGCCAGTCGACCGCAGCACACATGCCGGTCGACCGCAGCACACATGCCGGTCGACCGCAGCACACATGCCGGTCGACCGCAGCACACATGCCGGTCGACCGCAGCACACATGCCGGTCGACCGCAACACACATGTCGGTCGACCGGAAAACCTGCACAATGCAGGGTTTGAGAAAACTCTCTGGCCGGTCGACCGGACCAAGCCTAGCGGTCGACCGGATCGTGATTTCTGGGTTTCCTGTTTCGTTTTGGATTCTGTTTTGACAGGGATTCCTGATTCTTTTGGCCTTGTTTATTTACAAGATTGCCATCCACGTTTGCACATCTATAAATATGATTATTTTAGGGTTCTAAACAATCAGACCTAAGGGAAAAAGAAATTCTAATAATTGTATTATGGTTTAGAGGGAGAGTTGGGAGGTTGTTCTCAATTCTAGTGAGATTGTAAGAGAGGGATTGTAATCTTTTTCATACTCATAATCTAGAGAATGTATTTTCCTTCGCCATACTGAATTGTTCTTGTGTTTTAGTCATCCTCTTCTCAACCCACCTTTTGGTAATTCTGCGACCAAAGGGTGCTCGCACGGCGACTCGTATCAGATTTTGACCTTCCTCGATAACTGTCACATCTCCTCGTACTCCTCCATCGATTAGAACCTTCAAAAGCTAGTGCACTCTCACCACCATTAGATACGCTCTCCTTTCCCATTATTCTTTTATTCTCACGTAGGAGTGTTGTCACATCGTCGAACTTCAAAGTCTGTTTCCTTGTAATTATCGTCTGAACTAACGACTTGTACGACTTCGACAAGGAAGACAATAGGAGTATCGCCTGCTCTTCTTCTTTAATCTTCTTATTAATATTCATAAGTTGGCAAACTAACTGATTAAAGGCATTGATGTGGTCTTGAATTGTAGTACCTTCTTCCATCTTCAACGAATAAAGCTCCATCCTCAAACACAATCGGTTGGTCATCGACTTTGACGCATAAATCCCCTCAAGCTTTTCCCACATCCCCCTTGGTGTGGTCTCTTACATAACATTGTACTTGATCTCGGGGGCGAGTGCCAAACGAATTGTGCTAACCGCCCTCTTTTGCATGGAACTCCATTCAACATCCTTCAATCCTTTAGATTTTTTCTCCTTTAAAGCTTGATCAACACCCTGCTGTACAAGAATATCTTGAACCGTGCACTGTCATACTGCAAAATTTGTCTTGCCATTGAATAGCGGAATATCAAACTTCGGACCCGAAGAAGTCATCATCATCTAACCACGATTAAAATTTAAATTAGTCCCTGTAGAGATTGAATTTGATAAAACCAACGTCAAAAACGAACTCAGCACGTCGAAAAACCCTAGGAACGACTCCTGGATCACCAAAATCCGCCTCCAAATATCGAATCTCCGTGAACAGTACGTCGCCGTGAACAGTTTCGTCACCGTGAACAGTTCCTCTGCTACAGTACCGTGGTGAACAGTGCTGCTGCTACAACCGTTGCCACCAATGTCGTTGCAAATCTCGAATCTCCACGAACCATCGAATCCCGCTCTGATACCACTTATAGGGATTTTTAGATCTCGCAAAAACCCCCAAAAAACCACCAAACGCAGCAAATAAAATCATACAAGATTTAACGTGGAAAAACCCTCAACAGGAAAAAACTACAGTATCAAAATTAATCCACTATCACATTCAAATTATAATCTTTTACACGGACAAAGACTGCCAAACTCTCTCTCTCTCTCTCTACACTTCTTCTTCTTCTTCTTTTTCCTCTAACAATAGAAGGATATATATAGAAAAACCAAAACCCTATTTCTAGCCTAACTTCTAATTAGAATAAGATTCAAACTCCCAATCATGATGGAACTCAAACTCCTAATTATGATAGATCCCTAACCTTATCTAATTCTCATAAAGTTATACAAAGAATTAAAAACTCTATCCTAACTTGGAGTTTGAGTAGATACCCAACATTTTTTTATATTACATAACAAAATATGTAGAATATCAACTTCACCAATATAGGATTCCTTCACAAGTAAAGGGAAAAACTATTACTTCCACAAAATTAGGACCAGTTTGTCATTATCGAAGTTTATAATAAACTGTTAAAAAGAGTTTATAGAAGTAACTTGTATAAGCTGTTGAAAATAACTGTTTAGTAATTAAATATAAAAAGCTACTTAAAAAACAATTAAGATGATTAGTAGAACCGCGCTTATTGATCATTATTAAAAAAATAAAAATTACAAATAAAATATGTACTAAAAAAAGTATTTTTTTAAAAGTATCCTCATATTATTTTCAAAAACACATCTTAATGGTGTGTTTGAGAGTTTACTAAGGGAAAGGAAGGAAAGGTAAACAAAGGGAAGGGAAGGGAAGAAAAGGGAAGAGAATTGTAATATGTTATTTGGGAGTTGAGTAAGGTGAATGAAGGTGAAATTAAAATAACTTGTTTGGGAGTAATAATGGAGGGAAGGGAAGAGAATGAAATATATGTAAATTTACACAAATGGCCTTATACTAATAATACATCAGCCATTTTATTTGTTTTGATGAGGGGTAAGAATATCATTACACATTTTACCCTTCTTTACCCTCCTCTACCGCCCGAATCAGGAGGGAAAGAAAACCAAGTAATTTTATCATCTGTTCCCCTTCCTTCCTCCTCTCTACCCTCCTTACGAAAACTCCGAAACAGGATGAAAGCTGCATTTCTCTTCCCCTCCCCTTCTCTACCCTCCATCCAAACAGGGCATAAAAGTAAGCATGAGATTTTTTTTTCTCACTAAAACACTGTTATTAGTTACTTCTTGCAAAAAAACAAATAGAGTCGTCTTGCAAAAAGCAATACCATGTGTCCCTATTATATAAGGTTAAAGCGTGGGACCCACCTTCGTGAAGGGAGGAGCACCTCATTCGGAAATCCTTATCAGCACCGCATCTTCCGGTCTTTCCACGTAGACAAACAACCAGCTCAACTCTATAAAACTTCTCTCTCTCCTCACTCACACACACACTCTCTCTCTCTCTCTCTCTCTAGATTCCGTCTCCTTCCAAGTTCTCCCAAATAAATAACCGCCGCCTCTTCACATTTCTCCTCAAAATTTCTAGGGTTTTATCATCATCGTCATCAGGATTTCTTCGATCGATGGAGAGCCCGAGCAATGGCGGGATGCTGTACCACGAGGTTCAAGAATCGAAGCTCTGCGCTGTTCACTGCGTGAACACTGTTCTTCAGGGGCCTTTCTTCTCTGAGGTCGATCTCGCGGCGCTCGCCTCCGATCTCGATCGGAGCGAGAGGCAGGTGATGAGCCAGGGCGGAGGATCGTCGGGGGATTTCTTGATGGAGGACTCTCACAATGTGTCCATGGGCGGCGATTTCAGCATTCAGGTTAGGGTTTTGTTTTCTCCGTTGCTTTTCGTTGTTTCCTTGTTTGAACCTTGAAATTTAGGCTGCAGGAGCTAAAGTATGATTATTTTGGTTCTTGATTGCTGATCTTAATTTTACTCGATTCTTGAAAATATGGTGTTTACATGTTCTTTTGTTGCGCTCGTGTTATTTTGATTCTTTGTTACATAGATTTCGGTGCATGGAAGCGGTTCTAATCAATCTGATAGTTGAATTTCTTAGTTTATTTAGTGTAAGATATCGTTCTTTTGGTTCTTGATTGCTGATTTCAATGTGTTCATCTGTTCTTTTGTTATATTTTTTTGTTAGAAGTTAGGATTAGTATGATAGCTAAATTTTCATACAGAGTAAATCACAAAAAACTGAATTACTAATAGAAAATATATGGTGAGAATTCATACAGAGTAAATCACGAAAATGAATGTTTCTAATAGAAAATATATGGCGAGAAATCCAAACGGAATAAATCCAAAAATGGAAATGTAATAGAGTCCAACAATTACTCCTGTTGCTTAACCCAGTTTTAACCTTTTCACACACTGTGGTGTATCGTGTGCTTCAGTCAAGGCATTATCTCATTGAATTTGATGGATCTTATGCATTATTTCTTTTGTGGTTTTTGCACCTTATATGCAAGGCTTTGTCATTATTCCATCCATTCAATTATGCGTGTTTCTTGATTTTTGCATTAAAAACACTAGAAAGGAAACTTTATCAATAGTTTCTTACTGAAATTTAGACTTAATTAAGATGCTAAATAGTGTAAGCTTGCTATCATTTAAAGTGACCTTGATCTCGAGCTTGTTTCAATATTCTGTGGTTTCTTCTGTATTTGTTCCTTTCAAATGAAAATTTTGAAGATGTCTTACAAGAAAGTAGTGACTAGCGAGTGCATTTTCTGTTAAATTTTCTTGTTAGTTTCTGAACACTACATGTCCATGGATTGGGAAAATCCATTTAATGCTGCTAAAGGGGAATGGTGTTTCTTGTAAAAGAAAAATCTCACTAATCGTCTCACTTATATAGTGATATCATATGCTGGTCATGGATGGCTTCCATCTTATGGTGAGCCGCCTTCCGTAGCTGGATCAGAGTTCTTTGTTGGGAACCTTGTTTTGATAGATATGTAATGGGTCATGACTACTATTAAAGTTATATACCATTATTATGTTACTGGCATGTCTTTTTTTTATGGTTGAGCCACAAGATTGCTTTGTAGTTCTAGTAAAAACTCATGGATGTTCAACATATGCAGTCACCGTGAAGTGATAATAGGTTTCAATAAATCTAACTATTTGTGAAGAGTGAGTCTATTACTGCAATGATTCTGTCTATGTCATAGCAGTACCTTTTGACTTGAATAATGGGCTGAAAGAAGGCAATATCGACTATCAGACTGAAAAAATGTCATTCACAAATATTTTCTAACTCATATTACAAAGTCGATGATATTATTCTGTACTTTGATAGGTAAGATTCTTGTAGTATGAGAAATGAGGAGGAATATGTTCTTAGAAATAGATTATGTTTACAAGCTTGATTATGTCTTTTTGTTCCTTTCTGGATAGTGCAAGAGAGAGGATTAGGGATATCTGAAGAAGGAGCTAAAGGACTGACGTGATGTGGGTGGAAGTTAGTGAGAAGATGCTTCTGTACCAGGAGCATCACAAATTAGTATACTGTGGAACACTATTCTAAGGCCAGAGATCTACTAATATCAGACGACCTACTAATATTACCATAAACAACTGCTCATGAATATTTTTAGTTGAAGCAAGAAAGATGGCGAGGATTGAACTTGCAGAATTTTACGAGTTTTCCCTTTGGTGCTGCGCACAAGAAACTATTGTATAGAAGCTAACCTACAGTAATATTATGGAGTTGTACTGAATACACTAGATATACTTGCTGTAAATATGACCATTAAAGACAAATATATTGCATGTTAAGTTATTTGGTTACAGTATGAATCATTTGTTATCATCAAAAGAATGCACAATTATAAATGGATGCTAAACATAGTTAAAAAAAAAAATTTGTACACTTCATGTAGAGCTGTATGGCCTGAAGGAATATTGATAAAATTGTTTCTTGGTAAAAGAAACCAACTTTTCTTGAAACATTAATGATTCTATACCAAAAGGAGGAGCTGGTAGACCACATAGATTGACCCTTTAAGTGAGGAAAGAAGCCAAGGCAACTTTTTAATTGTCCTTTCATGAGCATCTGTCTTTAATATCCTATGTTACTATGTTGGGAATTTTGATTTCTTTATTGATTGGAATGACAATGGGAGGTTGGATGGTAATTGATCCCAATAATCATTCACCAGAACAGATAAGACTTCCTTTTTGGGATATATTAGCTCCAATTAATGTGCTTCCTATGCATATCTACCTGACTGTATATGTAATTTCTAGTTTGTATCACATTCCTTGCAAAAGGTGCTTGGAATTTAAATAACTAAGAACAGTTTATAATGAAGATTAGGAGTGGTGTTTCCTATTGATATTTCGTTCCCACTCATCTTCTATACAAAACCGAAGGCATTGCTGCCAGCAGCCAGCAGCATGCATTGGATGACTGGCCATCTATTTTAGACAAGCGAAAGGGAACTCGGAATTTAATGTACTATCTTTCGCGAACACCTTTTAAAGTTCAATTTGCATAAAAAAATAGTTTGAGTCTGTAAGCTTTTCATCCCATTCAATTAAGTGCCTGCTAGAAATCTATTAGAGGTTAGAAAGAACATCTATAAATTTTCCAAACCTGCTCTCTGGCATTCATCTTGTGAAGTTACTACCGTAGTAACCTTATCCTTGGGAAAGTTAAATCATAGATTTCATGTATATTGAAGCCTAACAACCAATACAGTCTTTGTTCAAATCTGATTTTCAGCAAGCATCATGTTGAAATAAGAGATTGTTTTAAGGTTGTTCTAGTTGCTCTTGAGTTGTGGCTGCTGCTTTATGTGACAAGTGTCAGGATATTTCGGAAAAACTTGTCTCCATGACTTATGTCCTTCAGGTAGTTTGACTTGGTCATTATATTCTCTCTAGAAATAGGTACCATGTGGGTGCCTATGGAGTATGTATAATTCTGTGGATGAGATGTTCGTGTGCTCTGATACTTGTGGATATGCTGGATACTCTGCCTCTCGATGTGTTGAAAGATTTTACATATATTAGGCATTTTCTTTTCTGTTTTTAGTGAGTTTATTGTTTCTATCCAGAATTTGCTATTTCTGTCTAACCTAAAGTAGTGACTAGTGAGTTTCTGTGTAGAAAGTTCTGCAGAATTAACATGCAGGCTGAAAAATTCTGAGAAAAAAATTAATGGGCTAATCAATTATTTCTTCCATGGCTTGAGGATTACCATATGAACATGACAGGGCTTGCAATAAACTCTTTAAATTCTTCTAGAAGCATAGTTGATCATCTAATGCGGGTTCATTTGGGGAAGCAGTGGTTTTAATAGGAAACCATTAAGATTCAAAGGACCGGAAAACTTTCCAAGAACGCACGCAGAAACACACACTTCTGTGAGGTCAGACATGCAAGCAGAATATTTGCATGCTATATTGTCTATTCTGACTCACGCAGGCAGAAACACAAAGCAATCGCCTTAGTTATTTTATCTTTCCAAGCCGGTTAGAAAGTCACATCAAATCTTTCATGGAGTCTTCTAAGTGCGTTGTGCTATATTGCTGAACTACTCTGATGGAAAAACCTTAGATGGTGATGATGATATTGGTCTAATGTTGTCTAAACACATTTTTATTGGACAAAAATAAATTATATTCCCTACCTTGCATGATATGCTGTGTGGATAAAGGAAGAGAAGTTTGTCTGTTTTGGATCTATTGGCCAACATTCGAGAAGTTATAGTCTAATCTAATGTTTTTTCATCTTGAGCTTTCACTTGTAATAATAGCATCGTTAGATGCCTACAATGGAAGTTTGATCGAAATTGAGAGAAAAGTGTTGATGACAGCTTCTAGTGATGTAGGTATTTATTAGCAGTGGTAAATGCAACCATATGAATGGTGATACAGAACCTTGGCCCCTAGGTGCAATTACCTTAGAATGACCTAGTCTTTTAGAATTATGGAACACTGCTCATGCACAGCATAGAGAGTTTGGTTTCGGTTTCTTTTGAAGTAATATTTTCCTTCTGCTCTTTCCATTGACCATGTAGAGATTAGGAAGCTTGTGTTGAACACCAATACTTGTATGATACTTGCTCGTACATGTATTGAGTATTGAAACACCAATACTTGTATACTTTTTTTAAGTTTAATCTTTAAGGTTAATGTTCTATTTTCATTTCATTTTGTTAGTTGTGTTTAGGTATGCTTATATTGTCACATTCGTGTACCCTACTCCTTAAGGATTTATCATGTCCTTGTTTCCGTATCTTATCATATCCATGTCTCATGTTACTTTATGGGTTAACAAGACCTATCCATTTTAAGAATTTTATTTATCCTGCCTTTTATTCATGTGCTCTGCGTATTTTTTCATACTCATTTTTAGTATTTGTCGGTCTTATGATAAGCCATTCCATTGAATATTAAACAAGTAAACGTTATGAACCAGAGTCTTTCAACAGATTGGAAAGCTTAAGTTTCCAAAGGTGCCACATTTAATGAATGCATATACTTCCTGTAATCTTGCTGGGGAAAAAAAAGGACTAACCAAAAGCAAATACCAGATTCTTGATTTCCTTAATGAACCTGGAGCAGTTTTTGAAGGAAGATCAGAACCTAACAATTCCTCGCACCGCCTTTCTATTGTATTTAATGCGTTACTTACTACTAATAGTGCTTGTTACGAAATGGATAGAAAAGGAGATATATAATGCTTGATCTTTTCAGTGTTTTCCGTTCCTTAAGAATTAAGATGCTTCTCATGGTCTTGGATGTTAAGATCAATTTCCTTAATGTTCTTGAGAAAGCTAAGATTGCCGATAAAGTTATCTTCTTCCCCCTTTTTTATGAGTAGCCTTCCTCAAATATTTATGTACATTTTTGTTGTTTAGTGGAACAATCTTGGTTTTTAGCAATCCAGGTTTATAGTTATGATGTTTAGTTATGATGTTTGAAATTGGTGTATTTTCTGACAGTACACTGTTATACTTTTTTCTTTATTATTGTTATTATTATACTAACACATCTTTGATTATATTTTTTTTAACTTTTCTTGTTCTGATTTCTCAATACTATCGTTATGATACATAATTATCAATCATCTCCTTGTAGATGCCTTTTGTTATTACTGATTGAGAGTGACAGCTTACAGACCATTATTGTATCTCAATACTGGATTTTTCTGCTCTTTCAGATTTGCTCTAGGCTTACTGCTCTTGCTTTCTATATATAGTTCTAGCTGTGCGGACTGCTAATGCATAAGCATCTATTTTCGGTGATTTTGCAGGTTTTGGAGAAGGCTCTCGGTGTATGGGATCTGCAAGTAATCCCATTCAACTCTCCTGCTGCGGAGGCATCAAACTGTGATCCTGAGCTAGAATCTGCTTTCATTTGTCATCTGCATGACCACTGGTTCTGCATTCGGAGGGTAAACGGAGAGTGGTACAACTTCAACAGTCTCTATGCAGCACCAGAGCATCTGTCAAAGTTCTACCTCTCTGCCTTCCTTGATACTCTCAGAGGCTCAGGCTGGAGTATTTTCATGGTCCGAGGCAACTTCCCTAAGGACTGCCCTCTACAATCATCTAATGCTTTCGGACAGTGGCTAACACCTGACGATGCTCAGAGGATAACAAAATCATGCAATGAGAGGCAAGCTCTTCCACAGGGACAAGATCCCTCCCAATTCATGAATGACGCAGATGCACTTGCAGCTCAGGAAGAGGAGGATCTCAATGCTGCAATTGCTGCAAGCTTAATGGATTCCTCAAACTTCACCTCAGCAAGCTCACCTGCAGTTGGCTCACAAACGAAGGAAGGCGCGGATGCTGCAACTGCTGCAAGTTTGCTCGGTTCTGCTTTCAGCATCCCGACATCACCATCAATGAGCTCGAACCTTGCTGGCTCACAATCAACCGCTAATGAGAGTAGCAGCACTGATCCTCAATCAAATGCTAATGAGAGTGGCAGCAGTGATCCTCGTCCAGATCAGAATACGACTAGCGAGCCCACAACCACCATCTCATCAGATGCTGCTGAACTTCACGAAACTGAAACGACTCGTGATGATAAGGATCAATGAGGCTGGGATCCTAGCAAAGACCGAGTTCTAAAACTGTGTCAAAAGACAGAATTCCAAGTATCAAGATCCTCATTACGATTCTTCTGTCAAAAAAAAAGATCCTCTTTTTTTTTAAAAGAAAAAGATCCTCTTACGATTCTGTAGCTTTATTCTGTGGCAGTCATGATTTATTGTGCATTTTAGTGTACTTTGTAGAATTCAATGGCTATACATCAACTCATAAAAACTGAGATTAGCTTTGCTGGATTTTCATGGGAAGAAATGAAAATAAAGCTACATTTTTCAGGACAATTTGCTGCCGAGAAATTCATATTCTATTGAATTTTGTTCTGTGTTGATCACCAGTGAAATATTGTATTGTAGGCTGTATTTATGTAAATCGTCGGGGACTGAGACAAGCACCACCACCACCACCACCAAGTAAATAATCAGATCACAAATGCAAATAACAACGAAGCCTCCCTGTTAAAATATCCTGCTTTTATCCTATTTCTTTTTATTTTAATTTCTTATACTTCCAAAAGTTACTAGTAGGAGGGAGGAGGATGCAATGAGTACTGATATCTTCCATC